TGGAGAAATGTCTCCCCTTTGTCCCATTCCCATACTTGCTGTGCAATCAGAATGCTCCCCCACCCAATAGAATCTGCACTTTGCCTTCTTGGCCTTCCCTCTCATTCCCAAACCTGTGTCTTCCCAGCACTCGAAGCTGCCAACTGGAGTTTTTTACTTTTTATTTTTAATTTCTCTGTTGATTTGAGTGGGCAGGGCTGGGTGTCAGCTTCCATCTGCCTCCCAGCTGGAAAGGGAAGCCTGAAGAGAAAGGGAGGGTGCTTTCAGCCTGTGTTCCCAAAGTCAATAGGGAAAGGCTGTGAGGACTGGGAGAAATTCAGGATTTTTTCTCTCCCCTACCCCCATTAGTAAAAACTTGTGCTTTTGGAGAAAAAAGAAGAACATATTGCTGTAGTTCAGACAGTTAAACAAAACATAAATGCAAACCAAAGCAGTTAAATAATGATCTGGCTTTCAGTGCTGCATTTTGCCCAACACTGACGTGTTGCCACAGACTCCTCCATAACAGGGTGAAAACTGCAGAGCTTTGCTTTCCTAAATCATAAAATGGCTTGGGTTGGAAGGCACCTTAAAGCTCATCCCATTCCACCCTCTGCCATGGGCAGGGAAACCTTCCACTATCCCAGGTTGCTCCAGGCAAATGGCCTGGGACATTTCTAGGGATCCAGGGGCAGCCGCCCTGTGCCAGGGCCTGCCCACCCTCACAGGGAAGGATTTCTTCCACCCAACCCCACCCTCTGGCAGTGGGAAGCTATTTCCCCTTATCCAAAATCCTTCTTCAGCTCTCCTGGAACCCCTTCAGGCACTGGAAGGTGCTTTAAGGTCTCCCCAGAATATTCTGAGCAATCCCAGTTCTCCCAGCCTGTCTCATTTCAGTAAGTGATGGATCACCTGCACAGCTGCATCTCCAAGGAGCTGCTGGCCACAGCAGCTGCAGTCTGCCGTCACATCTCTTGGATCACCTTCTTGGATTGGTGGCAGACACCAATTAATCATGGCAAGCAGGCAGCAGCTCGACCTTCTGCTGATTTGATCCGAGGTTCCCAGCTCTGCTTGCTCTGTTCTAGGCAGGTGGGTTTGCATCGTGCACGTTTTTAATGCCTGAGCACCAAACAAAATCCAGTTTTTGTAGCTAAAAGGGAATTGGCCCTGGCTCTCCTGTGGGGAACGTGCTCCTATAAAATGACACCTGAAAGGAGGAACCCAGAGAGGGCAGTGAGGGCTCTGCCCTGGGCAAGTGCAGGACAGGGGAGGTTGCCTGTGACTCCTGGACTTGCAGCAGCTTTGTGGTTCCAGGTGCTGGCTGGTATTTTTTGAGAGCTCTGGAAGACTTTGCACTTTTTGATGTTATTTTCTGGCACACCAAGTAAGGCAAAACCACTCCACTTGCTTTTCTGGCCAAGTAATCAGAGTGCTGCTAGAGTGCCTTTAGTTGTGTTTTTGGTTTTTGGTTTTTTTTTTTCTCCCTAGGATTTTCAGAGCCTGATTTAGCCAAGTTCTTCAGTCCCTGCTTATTTTTAAACCTGATCCTGTCACTCTCTGACATCACTGTGCTTCAATCCCACCAACACCCATGGACTTGGGCAAGCACTCGGAATTCAAGCAGATGCTGAAACACTTTGCTCACCAACAGCTGTGAAGTTGGGAGGACCTCACCCAGGGACAGCAGGGGTCAGGAAGGGAGATGAGACACTTTACATCCCACCCTTTCCATCCATGGGTGTTACATTCATATTTTCTGAAAAAGTCCCTTTGCTTAGGATTTTCCTCCTGGGAAGCTGAGAAGATTCAGAGAAAAAGGAAAACAATAATAATCTCGTTTGTTTTTCCCGTGTTTTAACTTTTTAGAATGTGTTTAAAAATTATTTAGTAACAGGTGATTGTTTTATTGGTTTCTGCTGTGAGTTGCTTTTACTCATTGGCCAATCAGTGCCAAGCTGTGTCAGAGCTCTAAAAAGAGTCATGAATTTTCATTATTATCTTGTTAGCCTCCTGTAAGTATCCTTTCTGTATAGTTTAGGATTCTTCAATATAATGTAGTATCATAAAATAATAAATTAGCCTTCTGAGAATGGAGTCAAATTCATCATTCCTTCCTGCCACGAGGGACCCCACAAATACAATACATGGGATGGTGGGAGACTCATCCCTGTGTTCTTGTTCCCTGGCACCCAAACCAGAAAGGACCCCAAGCCCATCCAGTGCCACCCCCTGCCACGGGCAGGGACACCTTCCAATATCCCAGGCTGCTCCAAGCCCCATCCAGCCTGGTCTGGAACACTTCCAGGGATGGGGCAGCCACAGCTTTTCTGTGCCAGGGCTTCATCACCCTCCCAGGGAAGATTTTTTCCCCAACATCCCATCTAAACTCTCAGTTTGAAGCCATTTCTCCTTGTCCTGTTAATTGCCTGTGGATATAGGATTATGTGTTTTTGGGACAGGTTCAAGGGCTGAACTTGAGCGCTGTATCTTCCAAAAAAGTCATGGTTCAGAGGTGTCAGCTCACTGCATGTGCTGGCTGGGCAGTGCTCAGCCCTGCTGAGGTGATTTAGGAGCTGTAGAGGTCGGTGTGGGTTCAGGGGAGGGTTTGGGGGCTGGGCTCACCTGGTGTTTTGGGAGCTGTCAGTGCTGCTGGCAGGGCTGGGCAGGTGGATGGACACCAATCCCAGCATTTCCCTGGGACACACAGCCTGACTGACCCCCCTTTCCCTCAGAATTATTGTTTCTGCTTCTGATAAAGGCATGGCGCTATTTTTGGGCTGGGAACCATTTACTGCCCAGATAAACATCAGTCTCAGAGGCTGGGAGATTGCAAGGGAGCAGCAGTCACAAGTTTCTTCATTACAAGGTAACGTTTAACTCTCTAAACTAATAGACAGTTGTCACAGGGTTTAATTTGGGTTTCTGAGCTATCACTTTTACTTGTTCCTACTGCACTGTGGATGCTTTTACCTAATGGGATATTATCACATGGACACAGATATGCTTCTATTAAAACTTGTAAACTCTTAGTTACTCTATAAAATGACAGCCCTACATTATAAACCCTTCACCATCTTATCAATATGTTCCTACATTATAAACCCTTCACCATCTTATCAATATTTTCCTACATTATAACCCTTTACCATCTTATCAATATAGTTTCTCACTTAAGGCATTTCCTTCCTTATAGCTATAGAAACATAAGTTTATTATTTTTCTGCTTAATGTCTATGTATTGTATTTTTACACTAATCTAAGCTTCTTCTAAGGTTGCAGATCAAACTCTTCAGTGTCTATGGAAGTTTCTATTTTTCTGGTTCCCACACCTTGCAGGAGCCATGGAAGGAAGGGGATTTTCACCTGGAATGAGTGACTCCCTGGCTTCTTGCTGCTTTTCCTTGGTGTTAGTTTTTCTTGCCCTTGGGGAGGGAGCAGAGGTTAGATCTGCTGCCTCCCCTTGCCTTGTCTATTTCAATACTTTATTGTGGCAGGGAAAAAACAAATGAAAATAGAAAAGAACTACACACATGCTGTTTAATTTTTTTCCCCTCTTACATAATTTTTTTAAGCTTCTTCACATTTTAAAATATGTTTTTCTTTCCCTCCTCTTTTTTTATCCCCTTCTTTCATCATCTTTTCCCCTCTTCTCTCTTCTTCTATATTTTTCTCATTTTATCTTTTCTCTCATTTTTTCTCTTTCCCCTTTTTTCTCCAGTTTTTTTCACCTTTTTTCCTTTTTTAACTTTTTCTCTTTGTCCATCTTTTTCTGCTTTCTCTTTTCTCTTCTCTTTTTCATTCTCTTCTTTTTCTCTCTTTTTTCCATTTTCTCTTTTTCTTTCTGTTTCTCATTTTCCCCCTTTCCCTATTTTTCCTCTCCTTTTTCCTTTTTCTCCTCTCCTTTTTTTTCTTTTTCTCTTCTTTTTTCTCTCCTTTTCCCTATTTTTCCTCTCATTCTCTCCTTTTTTTGCTCCTTCTAATTCTCTTTTTCCCCTTTTTTCTCTTTTCTTCTGCTTTTCCTCTCATTTTCCCTCTTCTCTCCTTTTTCCTCTCCTTATTTTCCTCCCTCTGATTCACTTTTTTGGCTTTTTCTTTTTCCTCTTTTCTCCTGCTTTTTCTCTCCTTTTCCCTCTTTTTTCTCTCCTTATTTTCCTCCCTCTGATTCTCTTTTTCTTTCCTATTTTCTCCTGCTTTTATTATCCTTTGCCCTTTTTTCTCTCATTTCCCCTCTTTTTTCTCCTTCTCCCTCCATCTCTCACCTTTTCTCTCTCCTTCTCTCATTATCTCCCTTTTCCCTGTCTTTCACACTTCTTTTTCTCTCCCTTTGCCCTATTTCTCTCCTTTTTCTCTCCCTTTTCCCTCTCTCTTTCTCTTTTTCTCTCCCGTTTCCCTCTCCCCTTCTCTCTTTTTCTCTCCCTTTTCCCTCTCCCCTTCTCTCATTCTTATCTTCCTTTTCCCTCTCTTTTCCCTCTCTCTTTTCTCTCTTTTTCTCTCCCCTTTTCCTCTCTCTTTTTCTTTTCCTTTTCCCTCTTTCTCTCCCTTCCCCCCCTCTCTCTTTTTCTATCCCTTTTCCCTCTCTCTTGCTCTCTCTCTCCCTTTTCCACTCTCTCTTTCTCTCTCCCTTTCCCCTCTCTCTTTCTCTCTTTTTCTCTCCCTTTTCTCTCTCTCTTTCTCTCCTTTTCATTTTCTCTCTTTCCCCGGCTTTTCCCTCTCCCTTTCCCCCCTGTTTTCCCCTCCGTGCCGGTATCACCCCTCCCTACCCTGACTGCCCGCACCCCTCGCTCCCGTTCCCGGAGACCCGGCCGGGGCCGCTCCGAGCCGGGGCTGGGCCGGGCCGATCTGGGGCCGAGCCGGGGCTGGGCTGAGCTGATCTCCGGCCGTGTTGAACGCCTTTGGGGCCGTACCGGGGCCGGGCCCATCGCCTTTGGGGCCGTGCCGATGGGAGCCGGGCGGCCGGAGCCGCCCCCGGGAGGCGGGCTCCCCTCACGGCCGCCGATATAAGGCGGCGTTGGCGGCGAGGCCGCGCTCACTCGCTCGGGCAGCGCTGCCGCCAGGCCCTGAGGTAAGGGCGGCCCCGGGGGAGCCCTGCGGGGCTGCGGGACCCGGGCTCGCTCCCCCTGAGCGCTCGCAGCCTCCCCCACGTCCCTCCGGGCTCCTACGGGGTGGGGGGAGCCTCTCCTGCGTGTCCCCACCCGGGTTTCCCGTGGTGGGAGGGTCTGCGGGAGCTCGGAGCGGCTGCCGCTCCCCTGTGGGTGCCCCTGCGCGCCCAGGTGCGATCCTCGGCTCCGCTCCTTGCCCCGCGGTTGTTGTTTGTCTCCTCAGCCTGGAACTGCCGCGGAGTTTGAATGTGCCGGGCTCGGGCTCGGGCTCGCAAAGCCCCTTGCGGGCATGGGTGTCCTCTTGTGGTGGCCGCCTTCCCGTGCTGGGGAGCCGGGACACGGGCAGGGTGAAGGCGTGCGGGTGACAGCCCGCTCGGCCATCCTGACTTTTCCTTCTCCCTTTGGGAAGGGCAGAGCGCAGCTTGCCCACAGTCCCGAGCAGTCGGGAGGCCGGTCTGAGTGCGGGCAGGAGCGGGCTGTGGGATGCTCCCTACATTGCTGAGGGCTCGGACGCTGCCCTGCCGTGCTGGGCTGCCCTCCTAGACAGGGGTGCTGGTGCTTGTTTGCTTTGTCACAGCCCGCAGGAGTGGGATGGGGAGGATTCGATCCTGCAGGCTGCATCTGCTTCACGGACAGCTCTGGGGCTCCGGAGCAGGGTTTTGGGTGCGTCTCCTTTCCTTCTTGTCCTGTAAACTAGCAGCGACTGGACTCAGCACATGTGCTTGCCAGGTGAAGGGGTGATGGCCTGCAGGAGTTTTGCAGTGTCGTGGACACAAATTGCAGTCCCAGCTTCCTTCAGGAGTTTTTCACATGCTGTGCTGTCTGCAGAGAGCGCTGAAGGTGTTTTTTTAGGAGCACGGAGTGGCTTTATTGAGTTTGGTGGGTTCCCCCTGTGCCTCCCAGCTAATCTGGGTGGGAGTGGGAGCTCGGGTTACAGCAGCTAATCCCAGACTAGAGCCCGGTTTGCGGGGCTGTAATCTGTGAGCACAGCCCTCCTCCCCGGCGGGGCTGGAGCCTGGGAGGCCGGCTCGGTGTCGGGTTTTTATGGCCACGCTGGGGATGCGGAAGGCGCAGGCAGATGGATGGATGCACGTGTGTGCAGCAGCCGGGCTGCCATCGGCCCGAGCATCCTCCCTGCTCCCTCACATCCCCAGGGTGGCTCTGAGCCACCAGCTGCGACTGTGGTGGCCGTGGTGTCCCCAGCATTGATGTGAGCCCCAGCCTCGGGGGCTCTCTGCTGCCCTGGTGCTGCCTCTCTGTCGGAATCTGACACCCCTCAGTCGGGTTTGAGTTTCTTCTCCATGAGGTATGTGCCGGAGCTGCGTGGTCACAGTCCTGTCCTGAACTGGGGTCTTGGGATGTGGAGCGGGCCTGTTCCTCTTGTTTTAGACCATGTGCCTTTCTAGAGAAGTCCAGGCCCACCCATGCTACTTCTGTGGGGTGTTCCTCCTGCTGTGCTCCCCTTGCTGCCCCCAAATACCAGCAGGAGCAGCCTTTGCCATGGGGCTGTAAGTTTTGTGGCTTTTAGGGAGTTGGCTTTAATTGCTGCAGAGTTTTGAGGTGCAGGAACTTGGGGATGGTGCTGTCTCTCCTGTGTGTGAGAGGAGTGGAAAGTGTTTGTGCTGGGCGTACAGTGGGACCCTGGGTGAGGTCTGGCAGGAGCCCCATCCCTGTGTCCCATTTGAAGCCTTGAACATCCAGGGGAAGCATCCAGCCCTGCTGCCTGCAGCTCTGGGGGGTGGATCAGCCCCTCTGCCCTGCATAGTGTGGGTTAAATCACTCTCTGCTTTCCCGAGATGAGCACAGGATCGGCTATCCCAGGATGGAGAGCTGCCCCTGCCTCAGCTCTCTCTTTAGCCAGTGTTTGAGCAAAAGCCGTGCTTAATTTGGTTTGAGTCTCGGCTCTGTCTTTCATCAGGCCAGCAGGATGAAAGGCATGGGCCAGATCTCACGGGCCAGTTTGGGCCTGTTTGTGGAGAGATTTGATCTCCCCTGAATGTGTGCAGGGCCCCCCTCATTGTTAGTGCCACCAGCTTCCCCTCTGCTGGGACAATAGTGCCTTGAGTCCTCTCGGGTAATCTCCCCCCTTATCTCCCTTCTCTTCCTGAGCCTCTGTCCCTGACAGGCAGGAGGGTGGTAGCTTTGGGAAGAGCTGATTATGCAGATGGAGAGGTGCTGTGTCTCCCTTTTTGGGGAGAGTGGGTGAGGAGAGGTTATTCAACACATCCGAGCTCTTCCCTGCTTACCTCCCCACTCTGTGCTCCTGGGAAGCCTCCCAAGAGATCCTGTGGTGGGGTCAGGGATATTTGGAGATCCCTGTTGCTCTCTGGTCGCTTGGCCACGCTGGCTTTGCCCCAGGCTGGTCCCTCTCTTTGTGGGGTCGTGGGGAAGAGCGAGGTGACCATTGCTGGGGGTGCTGGATGTGTCCATGGGTGGCCTGGCTGACCTGATGGGCCAGCTCAGGTGGAGCCATGAGGGAACAAGGATCTATCCCTTGGGAACAGCTTTATTTTGGCACGTCCCAGCCTGGATCCTGCGCTCCAAAACTGGCCTGGCCATCCTGGGCACAGGCCTGTGCGTGGTATACTGAGGGTCCTGTGAGGTCCCAGGGAGGGGGGCAGCATTTTTATACCTCCCCGAAAGCACAAGGGCAGTTATCAGCCCACTTGGGGTTTTGTGTGAGCCATTAAGGGCCTTTTCTTTCTGCTGGTGAGGAAGTTAACAAGTTGCTTTGTCCACTGCCTGCAGGTAGAAGAAAGCACTGAAGAGGTAGCAAAAGTAGATATAGAAAAGCAAAAGGGTGGAAAGGAGGCAGTTGTGGAGCCAACTTTTGGGGGAGTGTTTTGAAATCAAAGCACTATTCTAAAAAGAAAACTTAAGACCAGCAGATCTATTCAGCAGTCAAGCTCTGAGGTTTTTTTAGTCTTTTCTCAGTGCTGTGTAATGATTGTTAAGTGCAGGGGATACTTTGTAAAATAGAAAGGAGGGAGGGAGGACAGAGCAGAATTTAAATTTAAGTTTGGATAGCAGTACAAAGCCCTTTAGTTCCCCACTTCTCCTTTATGCATCTGTATGACTTGACAAGATGCTGACCAGAGCCTGTGGTAAATGTTTTACGGTACCATGTATCAGCCAGATCAATTCTACTGCGCTTGAGGGAGTGCAGATGAAATGGCTTAAAGGTTCCCCTGCTGAAAGCGATAGGAGCATCATTTCTGCCAGAGGAGACAGATTTAGTCGCCTGACACTTATTTGGCCACGGTGTACTTTGCAGATTTCACACCCGGGGACGATAGCCAACCTGATGATGTCAGATGTGAGCTGGAAGAGAGGGGAAAATCACTCAAAATCTGGTGCTGCTCCTCTTTTGTCAAGCAGATGAGCTTTGCTGAGTGTCTTGGTTGTTTTGCTTCACGGAGTGCTCTGGTGGAAGGTGCCTGGCAAGAGCGGGCTGTTACTGAAGCGGCGCGTCCCGGTGCGACACGGCAGCAGAAACAGCTCCGTAATTTACGTCATTTCTTTCAACCCTGTTTTGCCTTTAGGTCACTTGCACTCCAACCTGAGCGACCATGAGTGCGCTTGACTTGACTTCCATCCTGGATTTCCTGGAGACGGCCAACCTGACGGAGATCAACTGGACGTGCAGCAGCGGCGAGTGCATCACGGTGGACGCCACGACGTGCCCTGGCACACTCAACAAGAGCGCCCTGCTCTACACCCTGTCCTTCTTCTACATCTTCATCTTCGTCATAGGCCTGGTGGCCAACTCGGTGGTGGTGTGGGTCAACCTGCAGGCCAAAATGACGGGCTATGAGACCCACCTGTACATCTTCAACCTGGCCATCGCCGACCTGTGCGTCGTCATCACCCTGCCCGTGTGGGTCGTCTCGCTGGTCCAGCACAACCAGTGGCACATGGGGGAGATCACGTGCAAGATAACCCACCTGATATTTTCCATCAACTTGTACAGCAGCATCTTCTTCCTGGCGTGCATGAGCGTGGACCGCTACCTCTCGGTCGCCTACTTCACCAACTCCAGCAGCCGCAAGAAGAAGATCATCCGCCGCTGCATCTGCGTCCTGGTGTGGCTCCTGGCCTTCTCCGCCTCCCTCCCGGACACCTATTACCTCAAGACTGTCTCTTCCAACAGCGAGACCTACTGCAGGCCCGTTTACCCCGAGGAGAGCTTCAAGGAGTGGCTGATTGGCATGGAGCTCATCTCCGTGGTGCTGGGCTTCCTCATCCCCTTTCCCGTCATCGCCGTGTTTTATTTCCTCCTGGCCAAGAGCATCTCCGCCTCCAGCGACCAGGAGCGCAAGAGCAACGGGAAGATCATCTTCTCCTACGTGGTGGTGTTCCTGGTGTGCTGGCTGCCCTACCACGTGGCCGTCCTGCTGGACATCTTCTACAGCCTTCACTTCATCCCCATCAGCTGCCAGATGGAGAACTTCCTCTACGCCACCCTGCACATCACTCAGTGCTTCTCGCTGGTGCACTGCTGCATCAACCCCATCCTGTACAGCTTCATCAACCGCAACTACAGATACGAGCTGATGAAAGCCTTCATCTTCAAGTACTCTGCCAAAACTGGCCTCACCAAACTCATTGACGCCTCCAGAGTGTCAGAAGCAGAATACTCAGCTCTGGAGCAAAATGCCAAATGACTGCAAGCCCAGAAAGGAACTTCCTTGACTCTCTGACCTGATGTGGGGGTTTTTTTGTGTGTTACGGTTTGTTGTTTATTATTTTTTTTTTTTTTTTTTACCCCTTCCTTTCAATGTGCTTGTTATGAACGCGGCGTGAATTCCAGCCTACAAAAGAGAGAGGACAAAGTGTAATTTAACAGTAGGATCAGTTGCAAAGTGGAAGTGGTACCAAAATGAAAACCTTTTCTCCTCCTAGCCCAGTGTGGACTCCTCAACAACGCTATGCAAGTGGAAATTATTTCCTAGCAGACAAAGCCATTGTGTACCATAGGTAACATGGATAAGCTTCTCCTTCCACGTCTTGATTCCCTCTTGTCTCTTTGTGTATGTTTATATATATAGTGTGTTGTATTTAAAAGCTCAAGATTTTATTTTCTGCCCCTTGGTGTACCTTATGCAAGTGTATTTGAAAGTTAAATATATTTTTATCATGTATTTGAAGTATATTGCTGATGAGTGTATCCAGAGTGCTGTAGTCTGAATGTTAGGTGGCCGTTTGGCTCCAAGAGGATGCTGATAAATAGGATGGAAATGATCTCTTGGGAGCATCCTCCCTGGCTAAAGGCACACTTTATGGACCATGGCTTTATGTGGTGTCACACCCACATGCTGGAGCATGAAATATATGTAGTGTAATGTAGCTGCCATCATGTTAAAATTAACAGTATTGTCAGAGTCCTTAACTCCTACACCCCTGCTTCACCAGGCTGTATCCTCCTGCACAGAGTGAGTGATCTTACTGCTGAGAGTTGTCTCTATTTGTAAGTTATTTTTGTAAAATAAAGATCTGAGAAAAAGAAATCAAAACCTGTGCCTACCAGTGGTTTGACTTGCCAGCCTTCTCCTCAGGATAAAAAAAAACTAAAAGCCAAAAAGGAAGGATCTCAAGGCCACTTCAGTCCTTTGGTGCAGGAGCAGATGGGTCAGTCAAGAGTTTTCCTGGTGTTTGGTGTCCAGAAAGAACTGATGGAGGAAGGGGAGATGGCACTAGAGCATGGTGAGCAGGGAAGGGCTGGGAGGAGTGGGTCTGTGCTGGTGGGGAAGGTAAAAATGATGGATTTATGAGGTAAAAGCTGCTAGGACTGATGAAAAGTTGTGTTTGTAGCTTAGAAATAAAGAAGGCAGGGAAATAAAGAAGTGTCCAGATGGAGCGGATATTTGGACTAATCCAGGTTCAGCCCTCTGTGATTTTTGCTGGCTGTGGAATTAGGGGTTAGCAGTTCTGACAGCACTAAATCCCTTTTTATCTCTTCTTCCCTTTGGTGTGGATTTGCAGGGCTGTAGTGTCTGAGTGGGGCAGGATCCAGGCGCTGTGGGATGCCTCAAGGGGAGCCTTAAGCCAGCAAAGGACTGGAATCGTGGTGGTGTTCACCTCAGGACAAGGTATTTAATGTCAAATCATGATGTCTCCCAGCCGTGTTGGCTGCTCCAGGGCAGTGCTGAACTGAAATTCCTGTTCAATCCAAGCATGCCCTCATCCCTCTGCCATCCCAGCAGCCAAACAATCTGGGAATGACTGGTTTTTATTTCCCTCTACACCTTCCATTACTGCCTCCTCAAAGGTCGTCCTGTAAAAACAGATGTTAAGTCTGCCATCCCTTCCTCGTACTGGTGTTGCTAAAAAAGCACCAGTCCATTCCCAAATGGGGAGAAATCCCAAAAGAAAAAGGATTTCTGGTTGCAGGGAAGCTGTCAGGATGGAGAGCAGGCGTTGCTTTTTGTGCTGATGCTTCTTGTGCACTGTGGGTATTTTGAGCTTCCTGTTAACCTTAAGCTGCTGCTGAGCTGCAAGAGAAGTTCTCCCTCGTGCTGACATTGAAATGGGTTAATGCTGAGAAATTAATGTCCTGCTTTAGCTGGGCTTTGCTTCCCTTCCCTCAGCATCCCTGTGTGCAGCTGTGTGTGCTGGATACAGCTCTGGCACCCTGCTCCTGTCCCCCTGTGGGATGCTGCTCGTTTGAGAGCAGCAGAACTGTTTCAGTTCAGGCTCCCTCTCAGGCAGTGGGTTGTTCTCACGTGGTCCTGTAGCTTTACACTGGTAGAAACTCACAGAATTTCTTTTTTTTCTTTTTCCTTTCCCTCTGCAGTTTGGTATTCACAGAGCGGCGTCAGCCCTGCACAGAGCCTGGGTGGTGCTGAGTGTTGGGGAGATCCTGCAGACCTGCTGCTTCAACCACACTGATAAAGTCTCCTCCCCTGGGAGGTGAATCGTGGTGTGATGCTGCCTTTTCCACAAGCAGGGTCAGACAGGGAGCAGGGAAAGGTCAGGACCGTGACCCTTGCTGTCAGTACTGTGCACACATGGATCCTTTCCAGCTCCTTGATGGGAAAACCTGGAGCTGAGGACTCACCTTGTCCCTTGAAAGGACAAGTGGAGCTGGGAGGCAGCACCCCCCCCACCCCAGCAGTAGTTTGGGAAGTGGGAACCTTCCAATCCTCTCTCCAAATCCTCTCCAGGGACTGGCACTGGTGAGGGGCCCTGAGGTGGCCACGACTCTGTGGGAAGGGGCAGAGGATGGGATGGCATTTGTAATTGTGTGTTTCTCATTAGGACTGTGGTTTCGTGCTCAAAAGTCTCAAAAATCAAACTGCCACGGGTGTAATAGCTAAAAACTTGTCTGTGCTCTAGGAAGCTTTTCTCCTGTGTGACACAATACCCCAGCTGGTGTTTGCACTGAGACCAAAGTGTGGATCTGGACTCCTTGGAGACTGAAACAAGGGAATTTATCAGCAGATGGCAGGTGAGTGAAAATAGGTGTCTTCTGTGATGGGACTGTGACTTAGAGTGACTGATGTGATGGCTGCTGTCACTTTGTTTGGCCAAACGTCCCGAGCCTGGAACTTGGGGTGTTGAGGAAGAATTTCTTCTCAACATGGAAAAGGTTGTTAAGCATTGGAAGGGGTTGCTCTGGAGGTGTTCAAGGAAAGACTGGACGTGGCACTCAGTGCTCTGGGCTGGGTGACAAGTGGGGGTTTATCACAGGTTGGTCTTTGTTTGAAAAGACCCCCCCAGACCATCAACATGACTCTGTGATTCTGTTTTATGAAGGGTCCCTGCTCCTCCCTGCTGTGGCTTTGTGCCTTGCTGTGCCTGGGGATCTCCCTGCTCCTCTGACAGCTACAGGTGCCCGTGGGGATTCAGGTCCTACCTTTTCCAGGAGGTCAAATTTGCTGTGTTAAGGCTTGGCTGGAAGAATGAGCACAAATCAAACCTAATCCATAACCTGGAGCGAGTCCTCCTGCTTAACTCTTGGGCTTTCTGGTAAAGCATCTCCATGTGCCTCAGAGGCAGGCGCTGAGCAAATAAAAATGCATCTGCTCCGTGAGAAAGGCTTTATTTCTCTTCTTTCACAGAGAGTGCAGTGCTGCTTTATTGTTCCTTAAACACAGCTTTCCTTTTATGAGCCATAAACGACGTTCAGGTGTAGCGCAATGACTTTAAATCAGCTCCTCTGGCATTATGCAGATAATGTACTGCAAGAAACACCCAACTGGCCCTTTCTCCTTGTGCTAATTCATGGTTTCAGCACTGCTGACTTTAGGTACTCTCCTTTCACGAGTTCACTGAGCATAAAAGCCAGTTAAAATTCCTAAGAAGCAAGAAATAACTCAGCTGTGAGCAATATTGAAGCACGTGGGGGCGGGGGCAGCACTGCCAAAGCCCAGCTCTTAACTCTCTTTCTGAGAGTTCCTCCATGACAAGAGTGGAGCTGCTACTTCAGAAAGTGAAGGGGTGTGATGGGGATGGGTTTCGGGGGGAATTGTGCAGAGCCCAGGGTTTGCTTTTAGCCTCCGTGCTCCATGAGGATGTGTGGCTGAAGAGCATTTGAGGCAGAGCCTGTTTTGACTTTCACCCCAGATTTAGAGTGGGATAATGCTGCTGGTTTAAAAGGAGCTCTCTGGGGTTTATAGGGCTTTTTATAAGCAGGATCAGGAATTTCAGCCATAATCCTGTGCAAATGTATGGGTGTGAGTGGCGATGTGTGCATCTGCATGGCTAATGCAGAGTAATACCCACATCAGCCCGGGCTTAGAGATGAAATCACAGCAGCACAGCAGAGGATAACCATGGCAGTTTGCTCCCACAAGAGCACTTACATTACAGGGTAATAATGGGATTCAAACCAGGCTCCCAAAGATCCTGGCATGGATAAGCCAGCTGTAAGTCTAAAACACGTGGCTGACTCTCCAACACCCACTGACATGAGAAAAATCAGCCTCCTTCCACTTTGGTAGTTGCTATTTGAAAACAATTTTTTTTTGTTCATAGAAGTCTTGATCTCTTTGTTTTTATTACGTGAAATACATGCAAGGCCTTAGTTAAAGGAAATGCTCTAATTTAAAAATTTTAAAAAATCCTGTAATGTAGTACCAACATCCCAGTGATGCGAATCCAGGAGACCCCTCATTCCTAAAATACTGAGCAGGATGGCACTGGAATGAGCATCAGAGTAAGGCTTTTTGGGGTGTTTACTTACTAAAAGGTACAAGAAAGCACTGGGAAACCAACCAGACCCTCTGCAGATGATGCCTCTTGTCATCCTCTGGTTTGAAGCCAACTCTGATGATGGATGGTGCCTCTTGCCTTTAGGTTAAGGGGGGGGAAAAACCCCAAGCCCCTCTCGTGTTTGCTGTCTGTACAGTGCTATTTCCAGACTAAAGAAAAAGAGTTAAATTACATTTTAGCAGAACAATACTGACAACAGCAAAGGTCAGGAAACTCTTACGTAAGGTCACCCTATCGATTGCAGCAGTGAAAGGAGAGACATCAAATACTTGGCCATGAAAGGCTGAAAAGCAGTAAATTCAGCATGAGATATTGAAACCCAAGCCTCTTTCATATGTGGCAGAGCCTCTGACATAGCAGGTTTACTGTTCAAGCTGAGATATGTTGCCTTGCCAACATACATTCTGAGTTACCCAAGCAGATTTAATGTTTTTGCAGTGGTGACTTCTCCCTTTTTATTTTTTTTTTGTGTGGGGGGGAGGAAGGCTTTTCTTTTTCTTTTCAAAAAAGCAAAAAATTGTTGCAGAAGATTTCAAATCTACCTAGGAAATGACCTTAATCAATTTAGTTCCACCGATGAATATGAAAACTCAGATCTTTCTTTTTGCTTTCTCTGAACATTGTCCTGCCTGCATTGAGTGGGGTGACCGAGTCACAGCTTGAGAGAAAAGTGTGTTTTGTTTGTTGTTTTGTTGTGGGCTTTTTTTTTTTATCCATCCAAGTGGCAGCTCTGTTTTGTCCAAAAGGATTGACGTGACTGACAAGTGTTTTGAATTTCTAAGCTCTGAGGTCTCCGAATGCATGAAAAGCGAGTGACACACACATAAAAATGTAAATCTTTGGAAAACAAGCACCAACTACACACAAAAAACATAACAATTCTGCAAAAGGGTGACAGACGCTGCATTCATTCTGAGGGTTTTTTTTTTTCTTCCCTCCCTTTTTCTTTTTTTATAAGCCAGTGTTTCTGGGCCACCTACAGGCACATTTGTGTGTCCTGCAGTGGGGAATTGGGATGCACCATAAGGCAAAGTCATGGCTGTGTGTCAGGGTGGGTCTGGCTGCAGCTCCCATCGTCACCAGCTTGCCAGGATCCCTTCCCATCAGCTCCATGGCCATCGGGGTCACTGCCTGGATCTTCATCCAGCAGGCACACAACCCTGCAATGTCCTCATTGTCTGGGGCCTGGGCTGTGGGAGTCTCCCAGGGGACTGAAGGCACTGGGCAGGGCTGTGCCTCCCACCCTGGGAGCATTGTCCAAACCTTCCTGGAGCTCTGG